ACTTCCGAAAGCTAAAACTACCAAATAGTTTAGGCACTTCTAAATTGATATTTATGTCCAATCACTTTAGTAAAACAGATGATTTTAAGTTTGATTGTTATAATGATTGGTAAAATGTAACTGATTATTGTTATAAGAAATAGCCAGAACAATTAAGTTACTACTATACAAACACTTTTTTTCTAGTTTATTATTTACAACATGACAACGCCGACCTTGTTCGCTTCCATATCTTTGCAACGCCAATTAAACATGTAATAATTTAGGTAACCATCTCCGGGACCAAATTTAAGTTCTTCAAGAAAATATTTGTTATCCATTAAATCTAAGCAATTAAAGACATCGATTTTTTGCTGCAAATATATTTTAAACGTAAGTTTATTGACATTTTAAAACGACTTTAGGATGCATCAGAAGAAATAAATACATACTAATTTTGCTAATATCAATGCGTCTTTCATTAACTGTTGGAGTCTTTCTTTAACTGCGTGTTCTTTTTGATTTGTGGCATAGTAAAAAAGGTATACAGCGTCAATTGCTTTATGAACTGGATGCCCAATCACCGTGGAAGGTAAAGAATAGAATGAAAAGAAATCCGTAATTTGTTTTCCTGGAGCCTAAAATAGCTGAATAAGAATCAAAATAAAAACAAGAATCTAACTTGACGAGAATGTTAGAATACTTACCTCGACAACATAAGACCAAACAACACCTTCCTTTGGCAATATCCAATGTCTTACTTCATCGTCGTTTTTGAAAATGGGCACAAAATTAAATTTACTCATGTATTCATTTAAAAGAACTCTCACTTTTGGTACGTCTTTCGATTTCATTGGCCGCAAACCAGCGGTTGATGTCTCTTCAGGTACTTTATACTTTTTAATCATACGTGATAATGGCATATTGTTGGGCAATCGGGAAAAGTTTGTATCAATTAGTTTTTTAGGGTTGAGCGAACGATGAAAATATCTTCCTCTTGAAATTGGTTTGGGAAGAACGACCCCCGCAGTATATACTGCTTGAAAAATCCCTTCCAGGTGAGATCGACGCGTGATTTCTTTTATAAGCACAGGGGCCAATCTCTTGTTACGCAGTTTTTTATGCACGCATAAGAAATTTATTTCCACCAAATGCTGTCGCCTAATAAAAGTATTTAAGATTAGAATGTAAAAGATGATTCCCGAAAAAAATAAAATAGACTTGGTATAAATAATTACGATTCATATATTCGAATATCAGCGGGAATAGCACTAATGAATGCGACAAGCTTCTTTGTAGCAGCCACACGTACTCCTACGTGCCATACTTTCTTATATCCAGGCGGTTGAAGAGCCCTAAAAACCAAAGATTGTATAAGCAACTCAGGGAACTTGAGAAAAGGGGATTAAGGATATTTACCATTTCAAGAACTTCTCGGAATAGTCAAAACGGAACATTGCATCATCATCTTCGACATAGTTATTTGTCAGGAGATTATAAAGTTCATTTAACTAAGAAATTTTCAATAAATAATTAATTGAATTGATTTTAAAAAATGATGAGATACAAAAGGTAACTAAAAGGTAACTACTTCTTCTGGGTTATTCAGTTCCATTGTGGACCATTCGAATTCTTTCGGCAGAATATATGGCTCTTTACGAATTTGATCATGAGGCGTATTTGGCTCGATAGGTCCTTCTTTTTCAACTACCTCGTCTTTATATTAAATCAGCTGAGATAATTAGAGTTTTACAAAAATTTTTGCAAAATGATAACGATGAAAGCCAGATTTTCTTAAAACTCACCATTTTGAATAACAGGCTGAGTACTCCAAAACTTGTGAACGCCGGTATCCTTTTCTTTACTTGTACTAGAAGAAGCCATAGCTTCACGAATTGCTAATTGATTCACTAAACTTCTAACTCTTTCCTCTAACTCTACTTGTTTCGCCGCAAGTTTTGCAGGGTCATTGACTACAGCGGAAGTGCCATTTTTTGCGGCTTTTTTTTGTGCTCTTTTCGCGCTTTTCTTGGCCTGTTTAGCCAATAATTTGTCGAGCTCTCCGGGAACTTCTTTCTCCTCATCAACAGGATTTTCAAGCTCTCCAGGAACTTCTTCCTCTTTATCAACAGAAATTTTGGGCTCTCCAGAAATTTCTTTGTCTCCCGAACTTTCTTGTTCTTTATTATCATTCATCGTATGAAGAAAGAAATGCCAACAAAAAAATGGATGCTGACGTAGTAGCATAGGTTACCCAATGGCGCAGTAACTTAACGCCCAGTTTACGTTACCGTTACCGTTACCGTTACCGTTACCAAGAAAAAATCCCATGCTAAAGCTAATCGATCATAAAATATCATGAAATAATCTCACCGGTATGTCTCATAAAATTTGGGCGTGTGTAAAAAAATATTCATGAAATTCGTCCCCGTTTTTGAGGATAATCCTGGGAAAAACTAATGCATTTCGAAATAAATTAATTGTTATAGTCACGATAAATGTATTATGTTTTGTCTTTCTGTGAGAGAAAAATTAATAACGTTAGCACAAAGTGTGTGAGAATTCCCAAAATTAACGCCAGATTAAACGAAGAAAAGAGAACAATATAAATCAAAATCGAAAGTGTGGGAATGTGAATTTTTTTGATTAACTTTTTATTTCGTTAATGTAATTAATAAATTCATTTATCTACTAAAAGTTATAAAAGGCCTTCAATTATTTTTCCAATTATTAAAGAATAAAAATACTTGTTTGCTTTTTTCTTCTTTTATCTTTTCGTATATAAAAAAAACGATGCGATTTCTTCGAAGTCTTGGCAGAAGAACACTAGAAGAAAGTGGTTCCGACACGATTGCTGTGACTAATTGTGATCATTGGTTTGGTTACGTTTTAGCCTGGTCACTTCTCGAAATACGACATGATAAAAATTACAATGTCCGTGTTCTCACTCGTACGCGTAATAAGTACACGGATGATTTGGATAAAAAAGGGGCGGAGATTTTTGAGATTGATTATGGAAGAAGCGAGACGCTTGAAACTGCCCTTGGTCACGTTGGATGGCTAGTGGTTGTTCCCGAGGCGGATCGTGATCGTGTTAAATGGGCAAAAACCCTTGCTGATGTAAGTATGATTGAGTATTTGAAACTACTGAATATCCATTGAAAAATATTTATAATTGTAGGCGATTAAAAAAATTGATGTATCAAATGTGATAACTCTTTCAATGCTTGGAGCCGGTGATTCGAAAACTCGAACATTAGCTGACTTTAGAGATATTGAAAAAGCAGTGGAAGGTTCTGCCAAAAATTGGGTAACTTTAAGGTAAAATAAAAAATTTTATGAATATAATATAAAAATTTCTAATCCTAATTCTTACAATCAATCAATCAATCAATCAATAGACCTTCGTTCTTAAATCAATCATTTTTCGTTTTCGAGAGAAAAATCAGAGAAAGTAAACAGCTTACGATCAATGCCGGGGAAGATGCTCGTTGGTCACCAGTGGATCTTGACGATGTGATCTACGTTCTATCAAAATTTGCGTTCGATAATAATGGTCTTTTACGACCTGTTTTAGAAGAGGAACATCAACATAAAATCTACACATTAACAGGCCCTGATTTGGTTACCGGTCCACTTCTTGCTGATGACATTAATTCAGCTATTAAAGCGAAACCACGTACAATTAAATTCATGGAAGTCACGCGAGAAGCTCTTGAAGACTATTTGTTGGGCAGGGGTAATCAACGTGATAGAGATTTGTTTAGGAGCCTTGATAGAAGAGACTTTCATCTTGACTATCCAAAGCCCGGGAAGCTTAATCAAATTGCAGCTTCTTTAATGTAAGAGGTGTTTGATCTTCTTATGATATTTTTTATTAAAGCTAATCCAACTACTCTAATAAAAAGCTTGGACTTTTTCGAATACGTGAATACCGGAAAAGCTGGATATTTGTCTGGCGATTTTAAAGATATTACTAACGGTAATTTAGAGTTTTTTT